CAAATGTATAATGACAAATGTAACCATCATTACAGTATTACACAGAATAATTTTATTGCACTAAAAATAATATAAACTTTTTATAATCCTTTATAAAAGTTATTTTTAATCCTTTATGCTCTGCCTGTTTATCTTTCCCTCCACCCTCCCACTCCAGGTCTCCGTAGTTTTACCTTTCCAGAATGTTACACAGTTGGAATTACACAGTATGTAGCCTTTTCAGATTAGTTTCTCTATTTAAAGCTCCTTCATGATTTTTCATAGCTTGATAGCTCTCTTCTTTTAACGCTAAATAGTATTCCATAGTCTGGCTACACCAGGGTTTATTTATCCATTCACCTACTAAAGGATACCTTGGTTGCTTCTAAGTTTTGGCAATTATAAGTAAAGCTGCCAATAAGCATGTGTGTGCAGGATTTTGTGTGGACATAAGTTTTCAGCTCATTTAGGTAAATACCAAGTCGTGTGATAGCTGGATCATATGGTAAAGATAGGGTTAGTTTTACAGAAACTGCCAAACTATCTTCTAAAGTGCCTGCACCATTTTGCATTCCCACAGGCAGTGAATGAGAGTTCCTGTTGCTCCACATTCTTACCAGCATTAGGAGTTGGTAGTTTTTTGGATTTTTGCCATTCTAATAGGTATGCAGTGCAATCAACACTGTTGTTTTATACATTTTTTAAATTGTGCTAAAATGCACTAACTTAAAATGTTCCATCTTAACCATTTTTAAACTTACAGTTCAGTAGTTTTAAGTACATTCACACTACTGTATAAGTAAGCTCCAGAATGCTTCTCATATTGCAAACTGAAACTCTATAGCATTCGTTTCCTAGGCCTGCCATAACAAAATACCACAACGTGGGTGGCTTAAGCAACAAAAAGTTATTTGCTCATGGTTTTGGAGGCTGGAAGATCAAGGTGTCAGCGAGTTTGGTTTCTTTGAAGCCCCTCTCCTTGGCTTGCAGACGGCCACCCTCTCACTGTGTCCTCACAGGGGCTTTCCGCTGTGCACCTGCATCCCTGGTGACCGTGTGTCTAAATTTCCCTTCTTATAAGGACACCAGTCAGATTGGATTAGTGCCTACCCTTATGATTTCATTTTAACTTAGTGACCTCCCTAAAAGCTCCATCTCCAAACAGTCACCTTCTGAGTTACTGGGGGGTAAGGGCTTCAACACAGGAATTCTGAGGGGACACAATTCAGCCCATAACACCCATTAAAACAGCAACTTTCCATTCTCTCCCTGTGCCAACCCCTGGCAGTCACTCTTGTTTCTGTTTCTCCTACTTGAGTTAATTCATGTAAGTAGAATCAAATAGGGTTTGTTTGTGACTAGCATGTCTTTAAAGGCCATCTATGTTGTAGTATGTGAGACAAATTTCCTTCCTTTTTAGGTGGAATAATCTTCCATTGTATGAACATACCACATTTTGCTTATCCATTCATCTGTTGATGGACAGTTGTACTGCTTCCATTTTTTGACTACTGTGAATAACACTGCTATGAACATGGGTATACAAATGTCTGTTCAAGACCCTATTTTCAATTTTGGGGGATATATACTCAGAAAATGAAACTGTTCTGAGAATTTTTAACTATGCACTAAAGTTTGAGCTGTCCTATCCATATATCTTTCTTTAGGCTAATTCTTCCTTTATTCTGTGATACCAAATCTTTGCTTGATGTCACAAACTACAGCTTTAGATTAAGTATTTCTTCCAGGGTATTAATTGGTTAGTCATAAGTGGGTATGAATCAGGGACCTGTGTGATAAGAAACACCATAAATACTTTATATTAAGCCAGGTATCATTCCAGCAATCTGTAACTTAAACAATTACAATGAGAGATAAGCAATCTTGATCACACGTTAAAAAATTCAAGGTGGCACCAATATGTCAAATAAAATATAGAAACTCAGTTTGAAATTATATTTAACAGACATTTTCAAAACAACATATAGACCGTCATGACTATCCTAACAGTTCTTTAAATTCTTAGTTCTGGCAAAACGGAACCCTAATTTAATTTATGAAATAATCTGGATTTGCCATCAAAACCCTCAATTTCAAAGCAGGAGCTCAATACCTCTCTCTTCTATCAGTTGAGGGGTAAAAATAATCATTTTTCTTTAGAAGATTCCATGCCTTTACACTCATGAAAACCTTGTTTTTTTATGTGTGGTTTACTTTTTTTTAATAATACTGAAAGACAGTATAGCATAAAGAACAAGAAAAAATAGTCTAGTTTCAAATGTTTCTCATCTGTGAAATGGGGATGTTAGGCCCAAATATCCACTGTTGATAAGAGGATAAAATTAGTTAATATATGTAAAACGCCTGTTCCATAGTACACTCTAAATAAATGTTAGCTATTAGCAGCATAAATTAGCAAACCACATAGCTTGAAGGACTGTGATATAACTTGTCACCTCACTGGAACAAAAAGTAATAACCACTACCACTAGTGTTGTTAATGAGGCTATATGGTGGGAGTGTGGGTGGGGGATATTGAGTAAAAGTTTCTCAAAACACTTCCAAGTTGCTTCCATTCCCTCCTGTTAAATTATACTAGAAAGCTTTATTAGAATTTATTTGCTTTGTTAAGCTATGTCTTCAATTAGCTATATTATAGAGAAGAAATGCATCACTCAGACACAGCATTATGTTCTTATTCTTCAGTAGTATATGTCATCAGTTAAAAAAGAAATAGTATCTATGTCATTTTGGGTATTTTATGGAGATCCAAGATATTTGGATGGGAAGGTTGCTAAAATTGTTTTATTCATGATATTCACAAAAAAAGATGTTTTATTAACTGATTCTTAAAAATATAAGTGTATAATTCAAAAGTATCAGTAACTTACGCATGCTGAATACAAGCCCACAATGTAAGAATATAAGAAAAAATGTGATTTTAAACTTTCAAATTGGAGGTAATATATAATTGTCAGTGTCAGTCCATCTTCAAAAGGTATTATCAGAATGTCTTACTATTTTTTACTATACAATGCATAAAAAGAAACATCATTGGAAAGATTTCAATGTAAAATTTTACATGAGATTTTATACATATATATAAATTAATGAAAAAATATAGGTAAATAAATGAAATATGTATGTTTTCTTCATATGTATGTGAAAAAGATACTCGAACTGTCCTCTAGAATTAAAAAGTCCTTAACATAGTGAGATATAACATTACTGCAGAAACCTTTGAACTTTAAAGAAAGTTCCAGGATAAATGAAACAATGTTATGAAATACTAAACTCCACTTCCTACTCACTGCCTCTGTGACTTCTGGAGAGCAATTGTATGGCCACAGATGAAATAGGAGGAAGTCAAAGAATTTAAAGGCAAGCAAGGCAGTATTTGGAGGCAAAGTGAGAGAAAAGACCTGAAAATACAGCCCTCAGACTTCAGTGTTACCTGGAAACCCCCAAACTTCCCTGATTCCCTGAATTTCTGGTTTCTGAATAGCAGTTTGTGAGCTATGTTTTGTAACATTCCTGAATTTTGCTTATGATTTGACAACTTCCTATAAATTATTCAAACTGAATCCATTTAGTTCATAATTTAACTACTATACATGCCATAAAGTACTTTGAGGGAGAGGAGGAGGAGGGACTGCAGGGGAAAAAAGACAACAGGTATTTTCAAAGGTCAGGGAAAATTCCAGGAATACCACTTCAAAAAGAAGCTAGTAGAAAATAATTCCCCAAATGTAAAATACGTGCATCATGCTTCATTTGTATAAAGTAGAATAATCCAGATAATTCAATTCAACAACCACTTACTGAATACTTACTACACCCAGGGTCAGGAGAGGGGATCCGAAGACATACCTCAGCCCCTGGGCTCTACTGGCAGAAGGGCCCCTAGCAAAAGACATGTTTATCCCCCGAGTCTTCTGTCCCTACTTTCAGAGAGTACTGGGATGCTCTGCGGCTGAGAGGCTGCTTGCCTGGCTCCAGACTCAGCCACGGTATCTCAGTCACCTCCTCAAGCTGGGTAGGTGGTCCCCTGGGTGCAGGGACCATTCCTTAGCATAAGACCAGATTTAGGGTAATGCCTAGGAGGGGTCTGCAGTGATTACTGACTCATTGGTAATTTTTGTTTATTTTCAAAGCTTTGGTTCTTAAACTTGGTGCACTGGTTGAATTTTAATTTAAGCGATCACAATTCTCTTTTTCCTCAGCGCTGTGGAATCCTTCCAAATCCTGTTTGGACGGTTTAAACACTTTAACAGAAAAGTTTTTGATGCACGTTGTTGTTCGAAAAATCTGAACCGTAGTAAAAGACGAAGCACACATTCTCATGAAACAGTTTACTGAGCACTTCCACCCCTTTGGGTGATAGTTGTAAGACATTTATTTTCCTTTTCGACTAATGGCAAATCTTACTTTTAGAAATCTCAGATGCCAAATTAAATCAGAAATCAAAGGTCCCCTCCTAACCCTCAGGATAATGAAAATAAGTGTAGAGGGAGAGGTTTTTTAAATTACAATTATTATTTTATCGGGAAGAGATGTAGAGAGTCACTTTTTTCCTTGATTTGCTAGACGTGGCAAAATCAGGTTTTGTTCATTTTCGCCAACAGTAACAAAGTCTCAACTTGAATTGTCCATTAAAACCATCAATCCCCAACAGTAAAATCAATCCCCAGGTGTCTCCGAGCAAAGCGCCGGGGGGGCCCCGACGCCTCTGCCACAGGTGCGGGGCAGCAAGGGCCCTTGGCCGCCCTCGGGTCCGAACACGGAGGCCACGCGGGCGCGCTCCAGTCCCGGGCTCTTTGTCGAGAGCCCCGCGCAGCGCCGGGCCCCATTGGTTACGCGGCCTGTCGGGGCCATCCCGTCCCTCGTCCCTCCCCCAGCCCGCCGTCCAGGGCCCGGGCGCCGGCCACATGGCCCCAGCTCCCGGGTAGCCACGCTGCCCGACCCACGCGGCGCCCGGTGGGCTTCTCCAAGCCACCCCCATGGTCGCCTCTCGCGCTCACCGCTTTGAGATCCAGGACGCCGTCCTTGGCCTCTTGCAGCAGCGACACGAACTTGGTGGTGAGCAGCCCGAGGCTCTTCTCGTGCCTGCTGCTGCCGCCCCCACCGACCCCGAACTGCGGCGGCGGCGGCGGCTGCTGCGGGGGCTGCGCCTGGGGCGGCTGCGCCGGCGGCCGCTGCCCCTGCCCCTGCCCCTGCGGCGCCGGCTGGGCCGAGCTCGCGGGCTCCGCCGCCGCCATCGCGACCCCACGCGCGCGGTCGGCCCCGCGCCCGCCGCCCCCGCCCGCGGCCACCTGCCGGGTCGGCTCCGCCGCGGCCGCCCCGCCGCCGGCCGAGGCGCGACCAAGGGTCCCGAGCTCCTGCAAACAACAGGTGCGGGAGCGCACCGGACTCGCGGCCGCCGGGCGCGCGGGCCTCCGCCCCCTCCCCGAGCCCGGGGAAGCGTGAATGCAGCCCACGACCGAGGGGAGGGGGAGTGGAAGCGAGGAGAAGGGGCAGCGAGGGGTGGGGACCCGAGTTTAAATGGCAGGAAGTGACGCCGCGGCCCGCGTTGCCGGGAAACGCATTTTTCTGTAGGAGGAGGAGCCGGGAGGAGGCGTGCGCGGAGCCTGTGCGGGTCGCGGGGACGCCCTGCTGTTGGCCAGCTGCCCGCGGGAAGGGCGAGCCCTGCAGCTACGCGCGGAGGAGAAAGGACTTCTCTGGGGCCGAAACTCACTATCTCCAGTGGCTGTCAGTTCCTGAGAAGCTGGTTGGGCCCTTCGGTCGCAGAGGGGCAGTAGCCTCCGGTCACTGGTCCTTGGTCGGTTTCTGCTGTCTGCCCTACTCGAGCTTCAGAATCCTTTGCAAACATTTCAGCGGCTTGGACCGAGTGCAGGATTTTATTCCGTGGGTCATCCTTTTGGATCCGGAATACAGGAAAAGCAGAATCATGGGGATTTAGGGTTCTGTCCACATCAGCAGTCATTCTCACCCTTTATTTTGTAGATAGAGAAAATGAGGTGTTGAGGGAGAGGTGAGGAATTGCCCAAGGACTCGTCGCTAGACTCCAGAGGTCCTGCATTTAGAACAGTGCTCTTAATACCGTTCTGGAAACAAATCATATTATCTGGAATATTAGGCACTCACAGTTGTTTGCGCTTCAGTAATACCCCCAGCCATTTGTGGTAAATGGGATCGCACACAGATCTGAGAAAGGTTTTTCTCATTCCATTACACACGCTTAACAATCAGGCTAGATTTTAAATGAGTTGGTGTCACACAAAACACTCTGAATATAGTAGATGCTCAATAAGTATTAAGTGAGTGGAAATTCCATAAGACAGTAATTCAAGTTTCATGAAAGATTTTGCTTACTTTAAAATATTAAACTAGCAAGAAAAGGTCATTGTGAAATACAGCATTAACTAGTAAAACTGTACACACCATTTATAGCAACAAATTTATTTCTTATTCATAGGCACAGAACTTTATTAATAGCCAGATAGACTTTATTTTAATCAAAGGACTCTATAAACAAAACTTGGAATTAAAAATCTGAGGTAAAACATGAACATTTCAGTTAATAAAACCACTCAATTTAGCTGGAAATGTTTTTTCCTATGTGATTTGGCATTAGGAAAATTTTGCTAATGAATTTTATTGACAAATTAATAAAATTAATAAACAATGATGATTTCTTAAAATGGTTTTAATTTGAAGAGGGAACATTCTACTATAGGCGAAGGAACAGGATTGATAAAATTAATGTTATCTTTTTTAAACTTACATTTATATTGTGTCTTAGTCAGCTAGGGCTGCCGTAACAAAAACATCATAGATTGGGTGGCTTCAACAACAGAAATGGATTTCTCACAGTTGTGGAGGCTGGGAATTCCAGCGTCAGGCTGCCAGCATTGGTCGGGTTCTCTGCAAGCCCTGTGCCTGGCTTGCAGGTGGCTGCTTTCTCTCTGTCCGCACAGGGTGGAGAGAGAGCAAGGAAGCTCTCTGGTGTCTCTTCTTCAAGCACACTAATTCCATTCCGAGGTCCCACTCTCAAGACCTCATCTAAACCTAAACCCTCGCAAGCCTCCATCTCTAAATACCATCACACTGTGTGTGGTGTAAGCCTTTAACATGAGAATTTGGGAGAAACACAATTCATTCCATAATATACTTGGTAAAAATTATTTTGGTAGTTATGAAAATCTTTTTTTTATTTTAGTTTTTAAAGGTTTTCTAAAATGCAACTACTACATTATTAAAGATGTTAATAGGGCACTTGAAATTTATTTTGCACTGTTATGTTTTTCACAATACATTTTTCATTTTAAAAAAATTAGCTGAGGTAAAACTAGAAATCCAATTAGCAGGTATTTCAAGTTAATCTTCAAAATCTTACGTCTGTTGGAGAATCTAAAAGTCACATCTGTGGTCGCCAAATTTTAATGAGAAAAATCATCTCTGCTGTTTGTTAAAAATGCAGATTCTTTGGTCCAAAGCCTCGGAGATCAAATCAGCAGTTGATGTGAGAATTTGACTTGGGAATCTGTTTTTTTCAGTTTCAGATAATTCTCATGCACATGGTCACTCTTTGAGAAACACTGAATGATGCAATGAAAAAGAATGAAATTGCCCTTTTTTCCCAAAACAGCTAAAGATCTGAGACTGATAATACAAAATGCTTTCTAATGTTGATGAATCTTTTTTAGAATTTATGCTAATGAAATTACTTTAAAATACATGATTAAAAAAATCAGAATACAAATAATCTTCAAGGAAATAATACTGGTCATGGTTTGCAATATATTAATCTGACTTTGATATCTGTATTCTTTTGGCTATAAAGGAGACAATTTTCAAAACTTGCTACAAGTTTTGAAACAATTGCTACACGGGTTCTTTGTCCAGTTCTCTGCATATTAGCAAGGTGTAGGTAAGGTTTTTATACACTGTAATTATTCAATGAAACTGAACTTTATTGCACTGACCTTTGGAGTAATAAATTCTTGACACTTATCCTTTGTTAAATCCAGATTAATTACAGTGGATTAATTGGGCAGATACATGACCTTTTATAATATTGTTGATGTGCTCCTGATTATATTTTCTTTCTTTTTATGTATGAGAGTGCCGCTGCTTAGCCAGTTCAGGAGTAGGAGGGTGGACTTAACTATTTTGAATTCAACAGAATGATTGATTAGCCTGTAGCTCACTGGACTAAGAGTGTCTACCATTTGTGGAATTTCACATTCTATTTTCATAGAATTCCAGGATAAATTTAAAAGATGGACAGTTGGGTCATAATATAGTAGCTAAATACTTAAGAAAACCCATCCAACTTTTATTTTGTTCACTGATGATGGCATACTAATTTTTAAATGGATAAGTGAATTCATAGCAATCATGATGGATTGGAACTTGGAACTGTCAGGTTTCCTTTGACCTAACAAATTTCCATCAAAAGGCTGCCTCTGTCAGCTTTATGGCTCCCTTATTTAATCTGTTTTAAGTTAGTTGGCTTTCTCTTTTTCCTTTCCAAATCCTTACAACATATATCTATCTTCTGCACTTTCTAGTTGAAAAAAATTAATTAGAAAAATACATTTTAAGGATTATTGATCCTCTCATTATGATAAACAACATTATTCTCTGCCTACCTATAACCTTCATGGGAAACAAAGTGAAAGAAAATGCAAAGACCCTGTCTTCACAAGTTTTTGCCCTGAAGTAGGTATAGGAAATGCAGATTACACTCAAACATACATAAAAATATAATTCAGATACATTAGAGAGATTTTAACTTTTTTTTAGTGACTTGTACCCTACCTTATTGCTCTATCAAGGCAGCTTGAAGAAAGACCACATACATCAAAAATATAACATGACATTAAAAGGAGCAAGAAATAGTTGCCTCTGGTTTCAGGAAGAAATAGCTTCTTGAAGAGTGGTACTGAGAACTCTAATTCTCAGTTTCATTAAGTTAATGCTTATGATCTGATATGTGGGGTCTGAACTTTAATCATACATATCTAAATACAAGAACAAGTGATCCAAGTTTGTTATAATAAAAAAATAATTCAAACTAGTATACACTAGAAGCTTCTATGTCCTTATGTATGAACAGTTTTCTGACTGCTCTTGTAGATAAAAAGGGAAGGGAAATGTGGCCAAACATTTACTGAAATTGAATGTCATTTAGACCTTCCTGAACAACCAAGTTGCTCAGCAACTATCCCACTGGAAACACAGTTGATAACAACATTTCTTTGAAATCTTAGTAAGATAAGAATGTTAACTACAAAACAATCAAAGCATAAGAAGACAGCTTGTCTAAATAATGAGCCATCACATAAAGACCTCCTGTTCATAATACATTGCCCCAATTAAGACAATATGAATGTATACTTAGTATATCCTAAGATACTACAAACGCTTTGGCAACTAAAGACACTGTGTTAACTGAGTGGTGAACGTTTCTGAAATTATCATCAAGGGGAGTGATTCTAAGTCAAAAGCACTGTTGTCAAAAAAAAGTCGAAAAGCATTGTTTCTCACCAATAAATGATCTCCAGTTCCTTGTGCAGTGCCAAGAAAACCTATTCCCTAGAATGAAAAGTAAAGCTCTCCAAACCAGTCAAACCCTCAAGGTGATAAGAAGTATCCAAGAATTACCTAACTTTAATATTCTCTTATCTTGCTCTACTGTTATAAGCCATTTTATTTATAAAATACATATTTATGTATTTATATGTATGCTACTTATAAAAAGTAATATTACTTAATCAGCAAAAATTTAACTCAGATTCATCATCAGTGGATATCTGGATATCGTCTAACTAGGTCATGTTAGCCATATGCATTGCAGATCAAATAATACATGCTTTTAGAATCTCTGAAAAAAACACTTTGTAAAATTAAAAAAGTAGAAAAACAAATATTTTACCTTTACAGTGTTTTCTGTTAGTAGACCATCTGATAATAATCTGTCTTTTCTAATGTGTAGTACACATACAACTAGTGTTACACGGTAACTCTGGGGGAAAAATATTTTCCCAGCCCAGGGCAAATTATCTTCAAAATGGAAATCAGTCAAAGGGAGAATTAAAGCAGGAGCAATCTGTTTATTGCTCACAAGCAGTCCACTTCTCCTTACTCATGTCTCTCATGACCCTGCTGCAAAAACGGACCCCACACAATCTCTCCGGTCAAGATATGCCCTCACTTGCCCTTGTAATTAATTACCTATTGACATGGAGCTGGACTACTTCTCACCATCCCCTTGGAAACCCCTACTGATACAGAAATGTACTAAAGCCAGGTGAGAGATTCTGGAAATAGTACAATTTTACCCATAGCCCAGCCCTCCAGAAATCTCGCCTCACAGTCTGCTTGTTCCCCATCTTCCACAATGGCCCCTGTGCCAGAAAACTGGAACACTGCAACTAGACTAATAACATACAATAACAACAATAAAATCATGGTGATCCTCAAACCAGAGGATTCAGCTAGGTTCAAAGTACTATTCAGATTAAGTCCATAGCT